AACTCACGATGATAACCCTAAGTTATCATGATATCATAGGAGTTAGGGGCAGAGCCTGGGTGTCAGGGGTTGTAGTGCCAGATCTCACGATGCTAACCCTAAGTTATCATGATATCATAGGAGTTAGGGGCAGAGCCTGGGTGTCAGGGGTTGTAGTGCCAGATCTCACGATGCTAACCCTAAGTTATCATGATATCATAGGAGTTAGGGGCAGAGCCTGGGTGTCAGGGGTTGTAGTGCCAGATCTCACGATGCTAACCCTAAGTTATCATGATATCATAGGAGTTAGGGGCAGAGCCTGGGTGTCAGGGGTTGTAGTGCCAGATCTCACGATGCTAACCCTAAGTTATCATGATATCATAGGAGTTAGGGGCAGAGCCTGGGTGTCAGGGGTTGTAGTGCCAGATCTCACGATGCTAACCCTAAGTTANTAGTACTGTTTGAGTCGTACGCCGTGACGCTAGCTGGAGGCGTCCATGTCCGGCGTGTAGCCCGCGGGGTAGTACTGCTCGAGTCGTACGCCGCGACGCTAGCTGGAGGCGTCCATGTCCGGCGTGTAGCCCGCGGGGTAGTACTGTTTGAGTCGTACGCCGCGACGCTAGCTGGAGGCGTCCATGTCCGGCGTGTAGCCCGCGGGGTAGTACTGCTTGAGTCGTACGTCGCGATGCTAGCTGGAGGCGTCCATGTCCGGCGTGTAGCCCGCGGGGTAGTACTGCTTGAGTCGTACGTCGCGATGCTAGCTGGAGGCGTCCATGTCCGGCGTGTAGCCCGCGGGGTAGTACTGTTTGAGTCGCACGTGCCACGCGATGCTCGACACGGCCGTCAGCGTGCGGAACTGGTGAACGATGTTGCGCGGGATGAAGTAGATACAGTTGTCGCGCAGCTGGAAGCGAGCGTAGCGCACGCTGCTGTCGCGACGAAGCTGATTCAGCTTCGCGTCGTCCACCCACTGTATGCACTGCAACGAACAACGATGTGGGGTGAACAACGACCCACTGTATGCACTGCAACGAACAACGATGCGGGGTGAACAACGACCCACTGTATGCACTGCAACAAACAATGACAAGGCGTGAACAACGATACAGGGGAACCATGACGCAGCAAGAACAACAACCCACTGTATGCACTATAACGAACGAGGTGGGGTAAACAACGACACCGCTGTATGCACTGCAACGAACGACAGGGAGTGAACAACGAGTGTGAACAACAACCCACCGTATGCACTGCAACGAACAACGACAGGGGCGTGAACAACGACCCACCGTATGCACTGCAACAAACAATGACAGAGGCATGAACAACAACACAGGGGAACAACGACGCAACCTGAACAACAACCCACTGTATGCACTGCAACGAACGACAGGGAGTGAACAACGAGTGTGAACAACGACCCACTGTATGCACTGTAATGAACAATGACATGGTAGAACAATGACACAGCATGGACAACCAACCACTGTATGTACTATAATGAAAAATTATTGAGAATGAATAACTGTCCACCGAATGCACTGTGACGAACACCACGAACTCATGGCAGACTCATGAACATTAATGTTAACTTGAACATTTCAGGACAAATTCCTATGTGGATCGAGTATTGTAATCCTCGACATGACTATGTCGTTACTTATGCGATAACCATGTAATTACCCGAGTAAAAGCTACGTAGTTACTAACGAGGCACACAGGTGAGTTAATTACCTGTTACACGGACAAATGAACAACCGGCCACCCACCTCACGCACGGTAACGACTGCGACAGCTCCATAACGAGTCGCAGCTACATAGTTACCTGTATGACAGGTACATGATAATTAACGAGGCGTGCAAACGAGCTGCGTAGATGAGTTAATTACCTGTGACACAGGCGGTTCGTGAAGATCCAGCTGCAGTTGATTAACGACTTCTTGGAAATCCCCGGCGTGGAAACAGATCACATCCTTCGTCACTCTGTTGTATGAGTATCTGCACAGATGTACAAACATTATATATGTATATATACATATATCATGTTTGTACATCTGTGCAGATACTCATACAACAGAGTGTGTTTGTATATTATACTACGTATATATATACATATATATACGTAGTATAATATACAAACACACACTTTATATTATATGTACAACTCTATATCGCAGCCTATATCATTTTGAGTACGTTATAGATTCTCCGTACATGTATGATACGCACACACGCACACGCACGCACGCACACACACACACACATATGAATACATAAACATACGTGTTGATATACACATACAGATACACATTTATAAATGTACATGTGCACGCACTTGCACGCACACACCCACTTGCACGCACGCACGCTTGCACGCACACGCACGCACACTTGCACGCACACACGCGCACGCACACACACGCATGCACGCACGCACACACACACGCACGCACGCACGCACACGCACACACACACACACACGCACGCACACATCGCTGGACACCGGTCACCAG